GGGGGGGGGGAGCAGTGTCTCAGGGAATCACCAGGGTGGGGCAAACAGTGTTAGGTTGATGGAGACTAGGTTATGGCACTTGTTTGCTGGCTCTGTTGGGACAATCGCCTCTGCCAGCACTTCTGTCTGGGAGAAAGCTGCCCCTCCAGCCCTCCTCCTGAAGCCTGACATTTCACTTTCTCCCCCTATATCCCTGGTGCCTTTCAAGCTTCTGTGATTCAGAGTAAGTCTGTGGAGGCATGCCTGGGACTCTAGCAGCCCTCCATCCCTGCTGATTTTCACAGCCAGAACTTATGGGGGTTTCTCTTCCTGGACTGGAACCCTGAACTGGAGATCCTGGTGTAGGGCTTGGATCTCTGGTTCCTCAGGAGGGACCTCCTCAGCTGAAATATCCCTCCCAATTTTTATCAGCCCCACATGGGGTGGGACCAACCCATTTTGCATCTCTACCCCTCCTACTGTCTCAATGTGGCTTCCTCTTTATATCTTTAGTTATAGGATGTCTGTTCAGCTAGCTTTCAGGAGGTTCTGAATAATGGTTGTTCTGTAGTTTAATTGTTATTTTGATGTGATTATGGGAGGTTCCCAGTACCATGTTTATGCCGTCATCTTGACCTCTACTCTATATGCCTTGGATTTGAGAAACAGATGCTTACTTACAAAATTCATTAATGATATTCAATTTTTCTAAAAGACTAAAAGAAGGTACTTGTTGAAGTCCATTCTGTTTATGCAACTAGAGTTATCTTTCTGAAATATAAATCTGATCATGCCCTTTAAAACACTTTAGTGATTTTCCATCACCTTTGGGTAAAAGCAAAAATCCTTAGCATGGCCTACAAGATTTTTTTAAAAGTGTTTTTATTGATTTTTAGAGAGAGAAGGGAGAAGGAGAGAGAGAGAAATCAATGTGAGAGTGTAACATCAACTGGCTGCTTCCTGTACACCCCCCACAGGGGATTGAGCCGCAACCTGGAGCATGTGCCCTGACCGGGAATCAAACAGCAACCCTTCAGTGCTTGGGCTGATACTCTAACCACTGAGCAACACTGGCCAGGGCAAGACTTTAATCCATTTTGAGTTGATTTTTGTGTATGGTATAAGAGACATAGTGGTCCAATTTCTTTCTTAGCATGTGGCTGTCTGGTTTTCCCAACACCATTTATTAAAGAGACTGTCCTTTCCCCCACTGTATATTCTTGGCTCCTTTGTCATAAATTTATTGACCATGTATATGTGTGAGTTTATCTCTAGGCTCTCTCTTCTATTCCATTAATCTATGTGGGGTTTTTTATGCCATACCATTGCTTACCATCATGTGATCCATGGTTACAGTGTACAAGTTTTGAGGGTACTTGTCAAGGTCCTCAACAGACATTAAACCCATGATCCGTAAAATAAAATTTTGATCTTTCAACTTCATCAAAATTTAAATCTTCTTCAAAAGACTACTCTTAAGAGAATAAAAAGACTAGCCACCATCTAAAAGAACATATTTGCAAGTCATATATCTGATAAAGAACTTTTATCCAGAATATATAACAAACTCTCAAACTCAATAATAAGAAAACAATCCATTAAAAATGGGCAAAGATTAGAACAGACAATTCACCAGGAAAATATATAAATGTATGGATGACAAATAAGCACATGAAATGATATTCAGCATGATTAATAGGCAAATTAAAACTGCAATGACTACCACTACATACCTATTAGAATGTCTAAAAGACTGACCATACCGAGTATTGGTGAGGATGGAGCATCTGAAGCACTCATACCCTCGTGGCGGGAATGCACTATGGCACAACCACTTTAAAAAACACTTTGGTAGCTTCTTAAAAAGTTAACTATCCACTACCCTATGATTCAGCCACCCCACTCCTGTGTGTGGATCCAGGGAAAAAAGAAGGAATGTGTTTACACAAAGATGAATGTTCATAGCGGCTTTATTTTTAATAGCCCCAGGCTGGAAACAACCCAATGTCCCTCAAACGGTGAAATGATGAACAAATCGTGGTGTAGCCACACAGTGGAATACTACTCAGCAATAAAAAATGAATGAAATTACATGCAACAACATGGACCAGTCTCAAAATACTTAGGCTGAGAGTAAGATTCTATAATATTAAATTCTGGGTAATGCAAATTAATCTATAGTGAAAGAAAACAGATCAGTAGTTTTCTGGGGCTGTGGTGGCCAGGAGGGATAGGAGGGAGGAGGGAGGAGTTACAAAGGTATATGAGGAAAATTTTGATGGCGATGGATATGTTCATATCTTGATTGTGACCAGTTTCCCAGTTGTGTACATATGTCAAAACATCAAATTTTTTACTTTAAATATGTGCAGACTCTATGAAGGGTAAATCTGATTTCCACTCCCAAGTGGGAGATCACGCCACCTGGTGGCAGGTACAGTTAGCACCATCAGTCCACCAGCTGTGGCTGCTTTGCTTGCCTGGCTCTCTGCATGGGCCGTTGGTGCTCTCCAAGGGAGGACATCAGTTCCTCTACTGCACACCAAGGACCTCCATTTACTTAGGCTTAGGCTGTAGCTTTTAGCTGTCAGCTCTATACACAGGAGCACTGCGTATGAGTATATTTCACTGGTGCTTTGTTCACACCTGGAAAAACTTCACTTTCTCTCTTTGGTTACCCTCTTCCCCCAAGACCTTTTTTTCAGCTCTAGAAATACAAAAGATTTATTCCATGCCATTTCTCTGGTAATAAAACATGATCAACTTAGATTTGGTATAAAGAGGGCCGACCTATTTAATAAATACTGTTATGACTTCCTGGGTTGGACAACTTCTCATCTTTACCCTTTGAAAACAAAAGCCTGATAGCCCTAGACAATAAGGCAGAGGTTTCAAGTGACAGTCTACAAGTAAGTAATATCCTCAGGCACATGTGTTTTGCTTGGTCTGTATGATATTTAAAAGATTTTTAAATTATTGCCAAAACTTTAAAAGGACAATTTCCTATAAAAATTTAGATTTCCCTCTCTTCTTTAAAAATAAGGTCTGACATCATTGCTGCAACATTCCCACATGGCAACATTCATCAAGAGCTGATCTCTGGTTTGTCCTAATCCACATTTATCTGGCTTTGGTCATGTCACACACTTGCCCGACTCTCCCATAAGCATTTGAGGTTATAATCCCTGCAATAGAATTTCCTGTCCCCTAAGGGTCTGTGTACCCTCTATGGCAGGCTGAATAATGCCCCCTAAAGATACCTGGAACCTGTGACTGTTCCCTTACATAGCAAAAGAGACTTTGGAAATGGATTAAATTAAGGATCTCGATATGGAGAGATTATCCTGGATTGTCCACCCAGGCCCTAAATGCAAAATGCAATCATAATTGTCCTTACAAGAGGGAGGCAGAAAGAAATTTGATGACAGAAAAAGGCAATGAGGCCATGGAAGCTGGGGGAGAAAAGGGGATGCAACGAGGGAACCATAAGCCAAGGAATGAGGACAGTCCCCAGAAATGGAGAAAGCAAGGCAAAGGATTCTCTTCTAGAGCCTCCAGAGGGAGCATTTCCTTGCAGACACCTTGATTTCAGCACAGTGAAACTGATTCTAGTTTCTGACGTCCAGAATAGTGGGAGAATAAATGTGTGTTGTTTGAAGCCACCAACTGTGTGGAAATTTGTTACAGCAGTCACAGGGAACTAATACACCCTCCCTAGATGGGAATGTAAGTTTGGGAGGAGACCATCTTAATTGAATTTGCCCTCCTAGGGAAAACAAGGGAACCCACTAGTATTTCTTATGCTAAAAGCCATAAAAACAGAACGCAAGTTAATGTCTAGCAGGCCACCTGAAGGCTGTCATCCTTCCTGTAATACTCACACATTTCCCCATGTCAAAGCAGCTCACAGCTCAGGGTCTTTGTTAACAGCTTGCCCCCAGGATCATGCTGGGTTCACTCATACAAAGTCATCAATTCTCTACCCGCCCTGTAAACAAATAGAAGAACATCTGAATGTCACTTTATAGGTTTACTACTATCTGCTTGCCTTCATCACCACTGGAACCTATGAAGGGAAAAACTGATTAAATAATTTGAGTTTTGAGGAAAGAATCCCATTTATCCATATAGTGAGACTGATGGATGATGTGGAGAAAGCTACATTTGAATTTTTCTACTCAAATCATCCAATGAATCTACAAAATATTAGTTTAGAAAAGTCCATTTTAGTCAAAAATTGGAATTGTTTCTTCTTTCAGTTTAGAAGAGAGAAATAAGCACTTGGAAGGTTTAATTAGGAAGCCCAGAGATAGAACCAGAAAACCAAGGTAAGGTTTTTTTCTTTTTATAAATAATGTCTTTAACTTTAGAATATACTTATAATAAGATATATATGTACAATAAGTAAAACATTTTAAAAGCATTTCTTATCTCAATTTAAGATAAACAAAACATTATATGAAAGTGCTTGCTTTTTTGTTTTTTGTTTTTGTCTAGCATAAAATAGTTGCTTGATAAATGTTTTCTGTAGGCTCTGAATTAGAAAGCCAGGTTCTCTGCCTTCATGGAACTTCCAATCACTTCTTAAAAAGGTTCTATAAAGATTATGAGTTAAGATTTTGTCTACAATAAAGCAGCTTATCCTGCTATAAATATATAGTAGACCAGATTTTCTTACACCAATGTTAACACTTATAATCTGTCAGTATTTGATGCTACAGGTATATTTGTAAATCTAATGGAATTAAGACCATAGTATTGTTGCCGGAGGATTGGGTGAGTGCATTGTCTCTGTAGCTAGTGGAAGTGGGATTCTTGCAATATCTTCAGAAAAGGAATTTCCTGAGACTCACAGGGGAAAATGAATGGTTTTTATTTGCGTGGAATTATATTTCTTGATTTGCAAGGTTCCATGTTCCTTAAACCAGTCCTGGAAAATATGCAGCCGGGGGTTTAGTAGAGCTAAAGCAGGGCCAGTGTCCAGAGCTTCCATTCCATGGTGAAGCTGGGTCCGATGTAGCATCAGATTAGGTAAGTCCATTAATCCATTGAGTGGGTCCCACATTGGCTGTGGGCCACGTGGGTGAATGTAGGGGAGTGCACCACCTACAACAGGAGTCCCAAGAGAGGGAACTTTCTTTGTTCTTAAGTATCTCAGATTTCATTCTCTTGCAGTGGCCACACCTATTCTGGCCACTGACTCATTCCCAGGTGTGACTGACAGGTAAGCATCTTCCCATGTCACCCAGACTTTACTGGGCATGTGTCTATTATCCAGTCCCTTCCCCCATCGATCTGTGGGAAATAGACCTGGAGAGAGTTAACTGCAGCTTCCTAGCAAAGCCGTATAAATGGCATGCCTATATTATCTAGTCTCCCCTTTGTTCCTTTCCTGTTAAATAATAACCAGGTTATTATAACGGTATTAGTAGGATTTTAAAATTGGACAGTTCCTGGCCTAATTCCTGAGGTGCCAATAAAACATTTACTAGTTCCCAAAAAGAGAATGGGTTCCCCCCACGTGCAGAGGTTTGAAGGAAATTTCAGAGAACTTGTTTCATGACTCACATCCCTTGGTCAGATGCAACATATAAAAAAGTGTGCAGTGGGGGAAGATAAGAGATTTCTTTAACTCTGTCAGAGTGTGAGCTCCCACTATCCCCAAGTAATTCTACCTCTTTTCCTTAATGGCTTGTGAAGGGATTTCAGGAGATCACCTAAAAGGCTTGGAAATGCTTTTACTAAGGGTTGGGAAACAGGATCAGTGACTCACTCATGCCTGAGAAAACTAAATAAAGCAAGCTGTGGCAGCACGAGGACAGAGGGCTGTGTTGGGGTGGCCCGGTCTCCCTGAGACTGTGATCACCACAAAGGATGTATGTGATGGTTTCTTAAGAACCGTGCAGGTGAGACTTGAGTTATTTTGCACTCTGCCCAAGGCTGCCTGGGGGGGCACCAGCAGCAAGGAGCTGAAAGGGAAACACAGTTCTTCAGGGCTGAGGAGGAGAGACGCATCAGCCTGGTCCAGGGAACTGCAGGACAGAGGTCCTGAGCAAGGCAAGCTCCGAAGGGAGAATCAGCTTTAGCCATTTGCCGAGCCCAGAGGTTCTGTAGCCACCAGCCAAGTAAGAATGTCCTACAGGCTTACTGCCCCTCTCTCCCACTGTGATGGAGGAGGTGGTGAGCAGAAAGGGCAGAAACAGACCTCAAAGGGCAGGTGGGGTCCCCCAACTGAAGGCTTAGCCGAGAGAAGGGGAGGAGAAGTCCTGCTTTGGAATGAAGATTAGAGGATTGATTAACATTTAAGACTGGACATCCTGCCTACTGAATTGAGACTGTGTTTATGCCTCGCTGTGAGGACTGATGTTACCTTAGAGTAAGTGAGAACTCACTGGGCCTGCTGCGTGGTCAGCCAGCAGCAAAGGAACAGGTTCCCCCCTGAGTGACAAAAGTCGAAAGCAGAAGAGGAGGCAGACATTAAATTTGCATGTTGATCATATTATGTGTCCTGTTTGTTCAGCATACCATTTGCAAATACAACTATGTTTTAAAAATCTAAATCCCTTGGTAGATTTATGCCAGTATTTGCAAAGTGATAGGTTAACTACAATTTCTTTTTGATGCCTGGTGTATTACAGATGCTTAGTAATTGCTCATTTAAATTGTGAATCTTCCGAGTTGCTGAGAGAAACTGTGAAATATTTTTTTCTAGAATAATTCTAAAATAAGAAAATTTGCATATCAATTCACACACTTTTCACTAGTTCAGATATTTGCTTACTGTATAAATAACATGTGCAACAAATTTAATCTACTGTATAGATTTAGCTTGGCCTTGAAGCAAGGGGCTGAGGTAAGCGGAAGAGCTCTCAAGATTCTTTCTTAGAAAGCTCAAGACTTACATCAGCCTGCAGCCACCACTGTCCATGAAGCCTTTCACTGGCCAGTGGCCTCACTGAACTCAGCATGGGAACATGCTTTAGACTACCTCTGCTTCATCTCAAAATTTTGACGCTGCTTTTGCCAGTTATCTCAGTAAAGAGTTGGAAATGGGGAGAGAAAAGTGAGCACTTTCAGTAGTCTGAGATGTCTTATTTTTGCTTCTAGTTTTTAATCACTTTCAAGGAAATTTCTTAAGTTTTCAAGTCATAGCCAGAATTTTATCCTAAGTAAATCTATGAGAATGTTAAAACATAATGAGCTTGGCCAGGCGTGGCTCAGCAGTTGAACATTGACCTAGAATCCAGGAGATGGAGGTTCTATTCCTGGTCAGGGCACATGCCCAGGTTACGGGCTCGATCCCCGGTAGGGGCATGCATGAGGCAGCCGATCAGTGACTCTGTCATCATTGATGTTTCTTTCTCTCACTCCCTCTCCCTTCCTCTCTCTGAAATCAATAAAGATATATTTAAAAACAAACAACAACAAAAAACATAATGAGACTGTGACTCAACATATTTATTTAATTACGGTGAGAAAGATCCATAAATTACATACTGAAAACCTTTAGCTTAATCTTTTAGGGTCTTACAGTTCTATCCTAAATGAGTTTCTCCTTGAGTGAGGGAAAGAATATGTTAAATGACAGCATACTTGGTTCACTATTTTTAGTTCTCCACACCACTACCACCTCTTTTTAATTATTTTTCATTTTTTTACATTATTCTCTTTCTATTTCTTACAGACCAAGAAGATTAGAAAATCATCTAAAATCCATGACTGAGGTAGGTCATACTGATGATCATTACAAACAATGTTATATTTCCATGTAATTTGACAGTCACACAAGATTACATAATTGTTCCAGAAGTTACCTTTCAGTGATGCTCAGCTCAGCTTTCCCCTCTGCCTCAGATGCGGGCCTCTTTGGCCTCGTTTTGCTCTCCTCCTGCTATCTAACCACTGGACGTTTTCTAAATGTGCTGTGTTATTTGTACGCCTGCTGTCGTTGCCCATGCAGCCTCCCCTACCTGGAATGCTCTCCTCTGACTCCTTCCTGCTCCTCGCTTCAGTTCCCACCTCACCAGCACGGCCCGCTCAAGCTCCACCTGCTCCGTGAAGCCTTCCCTGCCCTGTCAACCAGATGGAACTCACTTGCTTCCTCCCGTGTTGCCACACTGTACCCTTTGATGCAACAGCACCTGTAACATTCACTAGTTCTCTGCCTGCATGTCCCTTGGCTCGACTAGAACCCTTCTAGTTCAGGAGTTGTCTCGTGTTCATTTCAGTATCCCCAAGCACCTGTCCCACAATAGGTACTAAGTGGGAGTGAATGCTAGACTGGCTTGGGACCCAGGACCGAGCTACACTTGCTGGAGTAATTCCTAATAGAAGACGCCACTGCCACTGCCCCTGCCCCATCCCAGGCCATGGATGTGTAGTCATAAATATCGTGGCCTCTCTGTGACGTAGCTCTGTGGGGAGGGGTACAGTTAAAGGTCTTCACTCTGTCTGCCCCGAGCCCCCCGCTGTTGGCACAGCTGAGTTGTGAGGACACCTCAGTTCTACCCAGTCTTAGTTACGCTGTGCTGGCAAGTCACGTCTCGGGCTGCTTAGATTCCTGCTTCTGTTCCTTGTTCTTCGCTCTGCCAGCTGGCAGCCAAACCAAGGAAGATGAAATGCAACCAGCCTTGTTTCTTATCATGTTCCTGAACGGGAGAAAGGCCAAAGCAAACAAAACTAGTGATTAAAATATCGTATTGGTATTATTTGTTACGTTCACCTTTTCTTGTATCACTTTTCCGCACGTAATCAAGAATCAGTTGTTCTGTCACTGAATGCCTGTCTTTCCCGAAAACTTAAACCTTTGTTTCCTTTCATTTTTAGATGCCAGATATTTTAGAAGGAAGTGGAGATGATTTTAATTAAACAGGAGTGAAGATTAAACAGTAATCATTTTTGTCAACCACTCCAGGAGCAGAGTCACTACTAAGCATAGTACCCAGGTCAATCCACACAAATAATACATTAAAATTATATAAATGGTGAAATTTTACATTCCAAAAAATGTGATTATTTTCTTTCTAATTTCGTCCTGTAAACAATCAAACATATTCTACTTTAATAAAAACAGATGAATACAGTGGCTTCTTTTCCATATATCTATTTTCATTTTCACAGAATATCACTCCTATGTTATCAGGTCTCTAATGACATAAAAATAGTCATATATCTCATTTCAACATTTTCCCCCCTTCAGGACATCCTTTTTCTTTCCAGGCAAACAGGCTCTTCAAACCTTTGTAATTAAACCCTAGATGAAAGGAGAGGACTGTCTTTTGAGACCTAACACTATGTTTTCCACCTTAACCCAGTTCTGAGGAATTAGTTCTGAATTTAAACAAAGGAACCAGAGATAGCTGATTTTGTGAGATGTAGCAGAAAGATAAGGAAACATAGATATTATCTTTTCGGTAAATCCCAGAGCTAGGATGAAGGTGTAACCGTTGAGTCAAAAATATACCTTGAGCCCTGGCCGGTGTGGTTCAGTTGGTTGGGTGTTGTCCCATGCATGGGGGCATGCAGAGGCAACTGATCGATGTGTTCTGTTCTCACATCGATGTTTCTCTCCCTCTTCCATCCTCTAGCCTTAAAAATCAATAAATCTTTTTTAAAAAAAGATTTTTTAAAAAAATCTTTACCTTGAGTCAAAAGGGAAGAAATTATCTTATCTCACTGAAATTAGTTTTCCACTTCAATTAGTCACGTAAGCACAAGAAGAAAATATATATCTGGCCCTAAAGGAAGTGCTGAATAAAGAAAAGTTGTATTGTTTTTATTTTTGTTGGAGAATTCTTTAAGGCAGGTCTTATATGAATTTTGAAACATAAACTTTGTTGATTTCTCAAATTCAAAAAGTTGCAATAAATTTAAGAAAAACCATGAGAAATGCACAGAAAGTTTATAGACATTACAGTGTTTAGTTTCAGAAAATCAAGCATTGCCCGGGATGCGTAGCTCAGCGGTTGAGCATCAACTTATGATCCAGGAGATCAATGTTCAATTCCTAGTCAGTGCACATGCCCGGGTTATGGGCTCGTTGCCCAGGAAGGGGCATGCAGGAGGCAGCCGATCAATGACTCTCTCATCACTGATGTTTCTATCTCTCTCTCTCTCTCCCTCTCCCTTCCTCTCTCTGAAACCAATAAAGATACATTTTAAAGAAAAGAAAATCAAGCACTGACAGTTTTGGAAGTGATTCAAGTTTTAAAAAGAGACATTATTATTATTATTGTTATTATTATCAGTTTCATGGTATCCTTTAGGGAAAATTAAAATATTATAGGAGAAAGACAAATATTGAGATAGATATGGCTAAGTCCGGAATGGTCACTATGGCAGTGGCTGTCAGACCCCTTGGTAGAGTCTTCACACATCAAGAGCATAGTCTTCCCACGATGGCTTATCGGACAGCTCTTTATCCTGTTTTGCACGTGTTCCAGTGCCCAACAGACATTTTGCTGCTGCTGCTGCTACGAATCCTGGGGAAAAAACAAGGTGACAAAGAAAAAGCATCAAATTAAAAAAAAAGATGAAATAGAAAAAGGAGTCATACTCCTTTACGGAAGGTGAAACTGAGCTTGATGTCTACTCAAAATGCTTATATCCGAGGCAGATACCCAAGGTGGAGAAAGCGATTCGTTTACTTAAGAAATTTCAAATTTTGGATTTTACAAATCCAAAGCAAACTGTTTATCTTGATTTGACACTGGCTATGGCACTGGGAAGAAGAGAAAAGTGGAGCCATTTGCCAGTGTTCTTAGTTTGCCATACCCATTCTTTTCAGAAATCAGTGAAGTTGCTGTATTTACAGGGAATGCATCAGAGATTAAAATAGCAGGAAAAAATGGAGCTGTGTCTGCAGGAGGAACTATCTGATTCAGAAGACATTGGATGATGAAATTCAACCAGATGTCTATGTAGCTGTTCCAGAAATAATGCACAAGCTTAATCCATTAAAGAAGAAACTGAAAAAGATTTCCAAAGCTTACTCGAAACCCCATTGCCTGTGGCTTCCCCAGAAAGCCTGAGCTATTTAAAACTAGGTGTGAAGTGAAGGGAGAGGAGGAAAAGGAGAGCATTTTCCAGACCAAAATAGCAACACTGGATACGTCAAGTGGCCAGAATGCTGCCAGTCTGTAAGCTGCTGTCAATGACGTCTATAGGTACAGATCGCTGACTTGGGGACCCTTTGTAGTGTGAGCTTTCCTTCGTAGTTTGACAAGGGAAGGTTTGTTAGTAAAGATGGAGCCATTGTTGCCTAAAGAAGTAGAAACCAAAGAGTAACAGAGAAGCTGCCTGAAAGTGTTGTACAGTAAAACCTCAATATAAGGAACTAATTCCTTATATAAGGCAAGGGAGTTTCTGTTAAAGCTGGATGTCCATTATATAATAAAGAAGGTTTTCTGAATGTACATGTTAAAAAATTGACAAATTAGTTTACCTATCTTTACTTATGTAGACACATTTGTGTAATTAAAATTAAGTATGTGTGAAAAGTTTAATTTCACAGAAAAGTTTTCTTTATATATTACTGTAATTTTAAATTTATACTGAGTAGGTCTCGCAAATGCGTGCATTCACCGGCCACTGAGAGTAAACAAATGCACGTGGCTGGGGCGGGGCTTAGCTCACCTGGGAACTTAAGCCCGCACCCATTCAAATGCTGCAGAAAGTCACTGCACATGACAGCAGAATCAATTACCATGCTCCATGCAGTGTGATCACCTGCTGATCATTCCCCGCACATTGTTTACCAGCGGCGACTCTTGCATATAAATATATAGACTATAGCCGTAGATATGTAATATTTATTTATGTCGGCGAAATTACTATAGTGGTTTTTCCCAACATGTGGCCTATTCACTAAAATCTCTTAAAAATAAGTGAATTAATATAGCAAAAAAACCCTGCTAGTTTTCACATGTCATACGTACCGGAAGTTTTGTCCTTTAAATTAGAATTCTGTTAAATTGAGGTCTGCAAAATCGAGGATTTGCTATATTGTGAAATTTTTAGTGGATGAAGAAGCAACAGAGAAAATTATAAAACTGTATAATTTTTTAAAAAAAGGTAAAGATGGCTAATGCAGCACCTGGAATCTGCACATGAATGTGACGAACCAGTTGGAATGGAAGGATTGACACAGGTTATCTACACAGAGGACTGTGTGGCTCAGTGCCACACTTGCCGTGTGAATTGTTAGATGTTTATGATCTTTTGCCTACATGTTGTCTCAAAATGAATGCAACTCCTTCAGCACATGTCCCAAGGATTCGGAGTGAAATTTAATCAACATTTAGTGACTGTCAGTAAACTATGGGACAGCCCCTGTGTTAGATGCCAAGGATACCAGGAAACTCAAGCAGAGATCACAGAGCATCGCATAATCTATTGGGGGAGGTGTAACTGCCCAGGGTGCTCTAAAAACATGGATGGAATGGCCCTGGACTAAGTGAGAAAACCTCAGGGAAGATTTTACAGAAACGGTGACACCTGAGCCACATCATCGGAGCTGACTAGATATTCCTCAGACAGATGAGAGAGGAAGGCAACAGCACACTCAGAGCGCAGAGGCCCAAGTACCCTGTTACATTCCCTGGACACGAGTGCTGTCTAAAACCCATGTTCTTCCAAGGACAGGAGATGAAGATGGTCCTGTTTTATGCCATGCTAAGAAATTTGGACTTCATCATTATGAGAAGCTCTGAAGGATTTTAAGTACAGATGCGATGTGGTCAGATACGCATTTTTGAAAGGTCATCCTAAAAATGATGTGAAGGGTAGGTTGATGGTGAGTGTTGCTAGAATCAGAAGTACCAGTTACGATACTGCTACTGTGCTCCAGGCAAGAAGAACTGAGTCCAGGAGCTAAAACAGTGGCAGTGGAAATAATGAGAAACGTGGATGCGAAGTGATTTTGAAGGTAAAATGAAAATGATTTGGGAATTGGTTAGCTGTGGGAGTGAAGAGGGGAGCCAGGGGAACCTAGCAGGGTTCTGGGTGGGCGGCGGTCATCTTACCTGAAGGAGAGAGTACAAGAGGGGCGGCTGGCTGGTTTGCAGAGAAAGATATGCTGAGCGTACGGCTGCTGTGGAGCGTGGGGAGATTTTAGCAAGTAGTTAAATATATGTTGAGAAGGAACCAGTGGTCCGGGCAGGGGCCGAAGGAAGCTAAAGGAGAAAGTAGGCGTAACTGATGAATCGGGAGGAAAGAGGGACTGGGTTCCACAGAGCAGCACAGGAACACGGACACGCCTTCCCTGGGGCTGAAGGAGGGGACCAGGACAGGCATGCTGGCAGCCACAAGCGGTGATGTAAGCTGAGGGAGCTCGCTCTCTTCAAGCACCAGGAGGCCTGAGGGGAGAGGCGAAACTTTGAAACAGCCACAGCTTCTGCCTTCACAGGGCAAAGCTTTGGTTTTCGCCACAGGATATTACAAGGAGTTCCGACTTCCTCCCCACCGCACAGCTCCGTGTTTTTATTCCCTCCCTTCTCCTTCCCTCTGGCCCCTTGCTCCCTCAACTCTGACCCAGTGCATCCTCTGGAGGACCTGCTCCAGCAATAAGTTTTACTCTCTTGCACCTTCAGCTGATGACTCTTCAATGAATTCTTACCCTGGCCTAAAAAATACCCTGAACCCTGTAGTCCAAAGCTGCCCTGGGTCCTCTCTTTTTACACCCCATTATACCTTCTGAAAGATTGTTATTTACATTTTACAAAGCACTTTCACATATGAGCTTCATCAAGTGGCTAGCTCAACTCCCAGCGTTTCTAATACGCATATTCACAGTCGCAGTCTCAATAGGCCACTCTCATTTCTAAAGGCTATATTAGTTCATGGAGCTCTGGGCCAGGACTGGGGCAGAGACCAATATGTATATTTTCTATTAGCTTACAAATATGTATAAAAAATACAGTATATAAACACATGAGGAATTACTATAATTAACAGATCTTTTTATATACTCATCCCTTTATCGAGGGATGATTTACATACCATAAAATTCTCCTATTGTAAGTGTACAAGTCAATGATTTTAGTAAATTTATAATCATACAATAATGACCACAGCTAGTTCTAGACTATTTCCATTACTTCCACCCCCAAATTTCCTCTAACCTGTTTGCAGTCAATCACTGCTTCCACCCCATTTTCTCCAGGGTTCTGGTCAGCCTTGTTCCAGGGAACATGCAGGAGAAGGGTTTGTAGGACAAACTGTGGTCCACTGCTGCGTCTGAGCAGGAGGCACTGAGGCAACCACTTGGTAAAGCTTTGGTATCACCCTGTCCTCTGCCACAATCCATCTTGTTTTTGTAGAGGCCAGCTGGCAAATTAACTGGAGTTTGACAGAGACCACAACCCCTTCCAGAGTGGCACACATCTCTACCATTGCCCTGGAGTATGGTGGTATTTTTAATTTAATATCTTAGCTGGGGAGGGAGTGGTGGTGGCAGTTTCAGAAGTTTCCACCTGGTCTTTCATACTCAGTAGCTCTGCCTAGGAACTAGTGTGAGGGTTCTTTCAAAAGCCACTCCATCTGTACTTTAAGGGACCAGATATGGATAGGTCTGATAACCTGAAGGACCCACTGTTAGCTGGACCTGGCTCCCGTATACTCTACTCTAAAAGGGGCCATGTTGGTACTTTGGGTCCTGGATATAATGTCAGTTCAGACCTCGTGTCCAACAATCCTCTAAAAGTCTGGGTATTCCCTTCCTCAGTGCCTGATTACTGTGAGCCAATGTCCGTAGGTTCCTTTGAGGAAGGATGGTGCATTCCCCACTGAATGACAGCCGTTGTGTTCCAGGGCTCCTCATCACAGGAAGCTGCCTTCTCTTCGGTTACTGGGTTCTGGGATTGAGAACTGACTCAGGCCCTGCTGAGACACAGATCATGACTTTTTATTGGGGTGAATGCCCTCAGCCTCCTGATCTTTCTTGATTTATTTAATAATATAAATTAGGCAAATGGGATCCAAACCACAAATACTAGATGGCTTTTGATAGACCTATGGACATTTTTTATTGTAGCAGCAAGGAAGGCAGACCACAGATGGGGTAAGTGGTAGAGTTTATGGGGAGTGGTCAGGTATTTGTACTTTTGTCTGTCCTTTCCAAGGAAAGATGAGTTGGGGAGAGCTGGTGAGGGAGGCCTATGAATTATGAAGAAAGAGGAAAAGGTGGCAGTAGTGCTCTGGGAGGGCAGGGAGCACGGGGAGCCCTCTTCTAAGTGAACAGTTTGGTTGGAGGGCCAGGACTCCGTTGAAAGCCTTCCTATTTTTTGTTTCTTTTTCCCATCATGCCCCCTTTTCATAAGGATCACAAAAGAATTTTTTTTCTGTTGGGGGTATAGTATAGCACACCAAATCTAGTTTGTTTCTTTGTGTGTTTTTTTGTGTGTTTTTCGTGGGGTTGTTTTAGCCCTTGCTAGGTGAAAGAACACTTAAGTCTTTGCTTGCATATAACAGATGTAACTTTTCTTACTTGACATTTCTTCATTTCTTATCAGGTCTACAGCTGAAATTAGCTTGCAGATTTGTGGGGGGAAAATGTAACTTGTCACAACACAACAAATTCAACAAATATTTTCTGAGTTACCACTGGGTGTCAGGTGCTGTTCTATAACATTGACTCAAAGGCACAAAGACTCCTGGCCTCAAGATGTTGACAGGAGACATAATTAACTGTATGTTGTGTTAGAAGGTAACAAGTGCTGGAAAAAGGAGATAGAAAGGAGGAAATGGAGGGAGGGAGAGCGAGCAGGGGAAAGGGTGGAGGAGGGGGGTTGTAGTTTAAAAGTGGGAGGTAAGGGTTAGCCTCACTAACAAGTGACAGTTGAGCAAAGGTTTAAAGGACATGAAGTTCCTTAGCTACTCAGTTATATGAGGGAATAAAACAGAATAAAAGCCAGTGCTATTAAGCACATTTAATAATTATGATGAGGAAAATCTTAAGCAATCAAAGGGAAAAAATGCTCTGCTTTTACAAATTCTAAGTGAATAAAGTAACAGCAGTGGAGAATCAAATGCAGATTTGCCCGAGCTGTGTGCATGAGAAGAACCCAAATGTGGCCTATTCCCGGGAAACAATCATCTTCCAGGTGATAGGTGCAGAGGTGACAGAGGGAAAACATGGGGGGATATTTGGGAGGACCTAAATAAGTGAGTAGATGGAATTCTTTTTTTTTTAAATTTATTTTTGGAGAGAGAGGGGAAGGGGGAAGGAGAGAGAGAAATATTGATGTGAGAGTGAGGCATCGGTCGGCTCCCTCTGGCGTGTCCCCGACTGGGAATCAAGCCTGCAGCCCAGGCCTGTGCCCTGACTGGGAATCGAACCAGTAACCTTTCGGTGTACAGGACGATGCCCAACCAACTGAGCCACACTGGCCAGGGCAGTAGATGGAATTCTTAAGTCCATAAATTAAAGATTGGAACCAACTAAGGGGGAGAGCTCTTGGGTGGGCACCAAGGGAAAGCTGCTTATTACAGGAAGAATGCAGATGACAAGCATGCAGAATGTGTGAGCACTAAGATCAGGGTGAGTATTTTAGTTCCCTGGTCCATAGGCTACTGCTTTTTATGTCAACTGGACAATTACACAGGTCTCTGTTTTCTGTATGTTTTTCTTTTCCCTACATTCATCACATCAGTCACAGCCACATTAGGCACACTTTTATTTGTCCCTGCTGTACCTTTAGTAGCTGGTTGTCTAAAATGCAAGTCCCCAATTAAATCCATTAGTTAATAACATAATTGGAGTGAAAGTCCCAGTTTAAGCCTAACCTGGATTATCCTCACAGGTTTAGGCTATGTCTAAACATGTCATAAGAACTGGAGAGGCAGCACTACTAGAAATCTCTTTAACATAAAGAAAGAAAATCTTCCCCGGAAATCAGTTCTCTTAAGAAGAAAGTCTATGAGAGGCCCTTGCCCGGTGACAGAGAGAAGTGATTTTAAGGACAGCAGAATGTCTGCATCTTTTTTTTTTTACAGTCCACACTGGTTTCTTTCTGGTGTTAGGAGAGAGCAGCAAGTTAAATAGAAGGATGTGTTTGTCAAAAAAATCTGTCAGACTCAGGAACCCAGAGCAGGTCTGAAACAGAAAGTGCCTCCAAGTGGGGAAGGGAGATCCTTCCTTTGCCGGTAGAGTGCACTCAGCAAGGCTTCGCCACATCAAAGTGGGGTCGGCAGTCCTGGCGGCTTTGGCAGGAAGCGGAGCTTCGGTAGCCACGCACAGGAGCGAAGGCGGCCGCTGCCAAGGGGGGGGACGCCTTCTCAGGGAGTCCCCCACTTCTGCCAGGTGCCTCGGTGGCCCGGCACTGGTGGACTGCAGAGAGGGGTGGCGCACAGCTGGCTGAGCCCAGGCCCGTCAGGTTGTGGCTTCAGCAGACATAAACCGCGGCGGGGGCGGTAGCCCCTAGGCGCTTTTACAGGGTGCCCAGGGCAGCGAGGCCTTGGGCACAGGCAACGCAGGAGAACCGAAGATGCCCCAGGCCAGCGGGCGTGGAGGCTGGAATCAGGCCTCAGGTTCAAATCTTCCCGCCGGCCACTGACTAGCCTTTAAGCCTTTGGTGAGTTACCCACCTTTCCGTGTCCCAGTTTCCTTCTCAGTAAATAATAACCCGCTCATAGGGATTTTTAGGGATTAAATTAGATTATACATGAAAGCACAGTTCTGAGGGGGCAGTAACTGGCCGTCGTGAGCACCCAAACAGGGTGAGCTAATTTGTTTCAGCATCGATGTGGCACGTCACACTGGGCTAGTTCCACAGTACCTGGTATAAAGATTGTTTAACTGCATTAAACACTTTGGCAGCAACCCAAACAAAGCCCAAACCGGATGAGAAGGGGCGTGTACAGCCTTTGGCGCCCCTATCATACATTTGCCAAACGCTTTCTGTATGCCAGGCACTGTCCCTGATATCCCTCATTTAAAATCAGATACACTATAAAGACCTTACCGCGCCAAGCGCCCTGTGAAGCAACCACCACCGATGCTAATTAGCCGGGGTGGGGCCGGCAGCGAAGGGCAGTCGACTGGCCGCTGGTCGTCTGCCCGCACTAAGGCGGGAAGCCGGCTCTCGCGGGATCTCAGAGCCTGAGCAACCGGCCACGTGACTCCCCGGGCCTCCCGCGCACCCCACGTCCGGCAGCCTAGTGGCAGCCACGTTGACGGCGCTCCGCGACCGCAGAAGGGGGCGTGGCGAAGGTCCGTGCGTGGTACGTGCCCCGCCCCTCCCCTCTCGGAGCCCGGATGAAGAGTAACGCCATTATCGCCGGAGCTGCCGAGAGCTCCCGCGGACGGCCAGTGGACACCGAACGGGCCGCGCCATGAGGCTCCTCCCCCGCCTGCTTCTGCTTCTCTTGCTCGTGTTCCCCGCCACCCTCTTGCTCCGAGGCGGCCGTGGAGGTGAGGCGAGGGGAGTGGGTGGCGGGGCTCGGCCGGGAAGGAGATGCCAGGGACGGCAAGTTTAAAGCTGGAGGCGGCAGGGGCTCCTGGGTCCGGCGTCCACCTCGCCCGCCTCGCTCCACCTTTTCATCGCCCTGGCTCGTAGTAGGGGCCGCAGGGCACGTGGGGCGAGGCTCCGGTGGGGCCTCTGCAGCCTCCACGCGGAGCGCGCGGTACTGCCGGGCGACCTCGCTGGGTGCCCGCGCCGGGGCTTGGGCTTGCCTCCCGGGCCGGCGCCCGCAGCTGCGCTCGGAGCCGGCGGGTCCCGG